TCGCTTGGGGGGGGGGGTCCCTGTGTACGGGTGTGTGCTTTCCTCTTTCTGCTTCACTCATGAGGGAAAAATTAATTTTAAAAAATTTTTAAAATATATCATGAGGGGACCAACAGATGGCCTAACAGTTACATCACTGGGCTCCTATGTAGTTCATTGTGGTTTGAGTCCCAGACCTGGTGGCTTAAAACTCATGACAGGCATGTGTGTATGCATGTTCAAAATCCCAAGAGGAGAATGGAGGAGAAGGGATTGTGATGTGGTCATCCCCCTTGGGGGATGATTTCTCGCTTTCTGTCTCTCTGTCTCTCTCTGGTGAGTGCGTGTGCCCTATAGCAAAAATCTCTCTCAAAAAAAAATTATATACACAGACACACACACACACACACACACACACACATACACACACATAATTGGCACAGGCAGAGAATCTGAGACATTCTGTGTCTCAGAAACAACTGGACAAGCTTGAGGTCTCCCATCCTCCATAGCCGCTGCAAGCCAGGCACCTCACAGCAGCTGAACACCATTTTTCAGAGTCAGAGAGATGGTCCCCATCACCACAGCTCTCCATCCCCCTCCCACCTTGCTGTGTGGACACACAAAGGGACAGCAATGGGCTGGGGAAGGGCGTCTACGGCTCCAGGCAAACGGCATTTCTCATTCTCCCCTTAGTTCAAGGCTGCGTCAAGATTTCAGGAGAATATATGAAATAAGACCTCTGTGTGCACAATCTCCCAAGTCGAGCTGAAATATACATTCTGAAGCTAGAGCATGCTACTCTTTTTCCTTCTATAAAGACTGAAATTTCTTTAGTGGCTCGATACTTCCAAGTATCAAGTGGTCGATACTTTTAACATTTGAGGTCCGGCCATGTCTAGATAACATATTAATTTCACCTTTGAACAAGAGAATGAAATCCTTTTTCTGAAGAACATTTTTGCTGAGTTTTCTTTGCCTGCTTCTAACTCATGTTGAATAGGTTTCCAACTCTGCCTTTAAAGTGGCATTTGCTACATTCCGGGATGTATTACTCAGCATTTTTAACCAAAGAACAATCGTCTTTGCTTACATTTGCACTTCACAAGATTCTCATTGCGCTGTATTGATTCGTTGTCACCCATTAACGCAAAATATTCTAGTGTCCACAGGACAAGTCATCAACAATTACATTCCCCTAGCATCGCAGATTTTAAGTGGATCAGTTAGCCTCAAAAGGCTAAATTATACTTCAGAAAAGGTTCATATTAATTCTTTATTTTTCTGGTTGCTACCTAATAAGAACTCATTTCATAGCTAAATAGGGAAATATAGCCAAACGGTATGTTTTAGTGACAGCATGCAATAACTACATCATCTATTTTAACGTGGAGTTTAAAATACAATTCAGGTGCTTGTCTCAGGAGCACATATACTAAAATTGAAACAATCCAGAGAAGATTAGCATGGTCCCTGCCCAAGAATGACACACAAATTTGTGAAGCATTCCATATTTTGGGAAGAGGGTGGGAGATGGAGGAGAGAGAGAGGAAAGGAATCAAGAATAAAAACAGAGAGGCAAGACGTGTGAGAGACACAGAAATGGAGGACTGTCTGTTGATGATAACATGTAATCTTCAACTGGACAGGTGGGAAGGGGTTCATGCTGGGTAAATTCATTTTACAAGCTGTAATGACGTACAGTGACGGAATGTATAAAATAAAAAATAGTAAGAGAGGAGCGAAAAAATATAATGCAGCCCTGTTGAATGGTCAAGTAGTAAAATATAACTAAAAGTTACACGCTTTCAGTTTATATAGCAAGTTTAGGCCTACAAGGTTTATAAAAAGGCTATAGAAGTAACCTGATTTATTATATAACAAATTCTGTTTTAGGAAGAGAAAATAGAAATAATGCCACTTTTTATGAGTCTGTGGGAATTTATAATAATATCTCCTTTTTCCGTACCTAGTGATTTTTCATCTGATCTATCATTATTAATCACATAAAGAAATATGATTTCTGTCCTTACAAGCCTGCCTATCTATAACCAATTGCTCCATTAGGCTGACACTCTTCAGTAGAGTAGAATCCTAACTAGCATTCAAATCTCTACCCTTACACTTACTAGTTATATAGCTTTGAAAAATTGATTTTTGTTCCTCTCACTAAACCACAGCTTCCGCATCTATAAAATGTGGGTGTTAATATCTAACTCATAGTGCATTTGTGAGGATTAAGTGAAATAATATGTATTACATATTTATGACAATGCACCTGCTTATTAATGCTAATATCACACACACATGAGCCTGTGTGTTTATGCAGATATGTGTAGGTGTGTTTAATTGTTGTACTCCCAGGCCTAGCACAGAGTATGCCCTTCCACACACCAGACAAGGCTGAAGAAGGAGAATCCTCTCCCAGGGGCTAGAATAGAGGACACATATCATAACTGTATATAACCTACAGTGAGAAAATACACCATATACTACAAAGACACAAGAGAAGAGATTAATAAATCCTCCTTTTCCAGAAGAAGGTTTGATTTAGCTACAAACATAGATTTACTTGTTGTCTTAAAAAATAAATCCTTCTAAACAATTATATCACAAAAAATATACCAGAGTTTCAGTATTTGACGTTCCGGTTATCGGAACCCTTTAATTTAAAAAAGACTCTGCCTTTAATACATTTTTATCACAAAACACTTAACATGGGATTAGAATGACTCCACCTGATTATTAAATACCATACTAGCAAAAATACAGAAATGTGGGACCAGCAGAGGGCATAATGGTTATGTCGCTAGACTCCCACATAGTCAACTGAGGTTTGAATCCAGGACCCAGCGGCTTAAAACTCAGGCCAGGTGCCTGTGTGTGTGCTCCAGATCCTGAGAAGAGAATGGAGAAGGGACTGTGACGTGACCATCCCCAGGGTGGTCATTTCTCACTATCTGTCTCTCTGTCTCTATCTATCCAGTGAGCATATGCACTCTATAGCAAAACTATGTCTTAAAAAAAAAAAGAAATGTAAGAATTCAAACACAGATGTACTAAAACTGCAACATATCTTATTATTTCATGTTTCTAGGCATAATATCTAACACGAAAGCATATGCCAAAATTTAAATGAGGAAAAAAAGAACCAAGAACATGTATCCTTTTAGTACTTCAATTTACTTACCAGTAGAGCTTCCTAAACAAAATAATGCTTTTAAAAATGAAATAGCATCACTATGAAGTTTGTCTTTGAAACACTCAGTAGACAAATATATCTAAAGACATGGAGCAGATGTCCTGGGGTATCGTTCGTGTACAAGTGTTTCATTTGGGGATGTTGACACCACTACCCAATTGGCCTAAAGATCTTACCTTGGGTTCTTAGGTTAGAGATGGACAGAGATCATCCCTGCTCCATCTACCCCTCCCCTCATCGGAAGTCCACTTTCTTTTGTGGTTATGTCCTAAGGGAATGGTAGCTTCAACATGAGCCCTGTTTGTTCAGACTCTTTTTTTTTTTTTAAGAGAGTTTTTTTGGGGGGTATAGGGAGCATGCGCTTGCCAGAGACACAGAAAGAGAGAAAGAGAGAGAAAGTGAGAAGTCACGCCCATCCCTTCTTTTCCATTTTCCTCTCAGGATTTTGGGCACTCACACAGATACCCACAACCAACATGAGTTCAAGCCCTCAGCTCTGGGACTCAAACCATGGTCAGCCATGTGAGAGTCCAGAGTTCCAACTGTTATGCCACCTACTGGCCTGTGCTCAGAGACTCTGAAATGCAAGGGTGCTGCTTTGACTAACTGGTTCAGGTGTCAGCTTTTGGTGCTGACATGAAAGAGAGAGACCCCAGGGGGCCAGGGCAGCAAGGACTCTTCTCATATGATTCCCATGAAAAGTCCATTCAACAGGGATCCATTAATTACCCAGCTACAGAAGCATGAAATGCAGAAAACCTTGCTATGATGCAGGCTTGATTTTATTTTCTTTATTTTTTAAAATTTTAATCACTGGGCTTATTTGGGTCCTTTTCCTTTTAACCAAAATAAATGGAAAATCAAGAGACAGGAAATCGGGGGCCTGGTTGCTACATATTATTTTTCCCTTTTGCTCTCTGCTTGCCGTGGGACACAATGTGTATAACAACACCGGAATGTCAAAGAAATTTGCCTCTAACACTTTCAGGCAGGTTTTTCTATTTCTCTCTTTCTCTTTCTTTGTCACTCTCCCTCTCTTTCTCTTTCTCACAGGCCCTTCTCACAGGTATGACAACCCTACCCTGAGTCAAAGTTAGTGATGGTTGCCAAAAGGGCCAAGTTTTGAGGGCCTGGGCAGTGCTAGAGAGATTGTGCTATGGGGTACTGTGTCCCAGCTGTGAGGCTGGGCCTGGCCCTGTCTGTGACGCAGCCCCAGTCACCTGCTCCCATACTTACTTATGATACCAGTTCACTTTCATTTCTTCTGTAAAGTATTTCATGAAACACTGAAGTCTTATTCCTTCTGGGGTGCAGAGTATCTTCAGTGGAGAAGCAGATGCTCCTGCGGAAAAGAAAACTGTCTCAGATCTCAGAAAAACAGCATGTGCTTGCAGCGTTATAATGGAAAGGTGTTATTGCCAGATAGCTTTAACATATCCATCAGTGAATGTATTCTTGCATGGGTATGTTTTAAAGTCTGTCTGCCACGAATTCTTATACTTTATTCCCTTGCCATATTCTCATTCATTAAATAAGCATTTGCCACACCGGAGTAATTTGAAAAGCTCTTTGCTGAATACTGTAAGAGATACATAATTTTTTAAGAAAAGAATAATCGACATCTCCCCTTTGAAGCTTAATTTAAAAGGACCTAACAAAATACGTAAGTGACCAAGTAGCACGGTGAATGTGACATTAATTGATATGGATCTGAAGTATTATATAAAATCAGAAAAAGGAGCATAAGATTTAGCAGACATGATCTAGGATGGAGTCTAGGAGATAGTAGGATTAGGGTTGTCCTTTGAGCCAACTAAAAATAAACCCCATGGACCAAAGAAGGAGGAAACGGCAGGCTTTGAGCCTATCCCCAGAGTTCTGGAAGACAGAAGGGGCATGACTTGTAATGGATCGGTTAGAGCTAAGAAGCCGAAAAGGGTCATGTGAGCCAGGAAGAACCCAGAACTCTTGAGAGTGTACATCGGGGGTGCCACGTACTTCCACATGCAGGCACAGGGCTGCAATCGGGAGGGTTATTTGAATATCCACATGAGAATCAGAAGGACCACCTGACCTCCGTCTCCTCACCTCCTGTTCAGACAGGACCCTATGTCTCTCCAGCAGGAGACCACAGATTTATCATTCAGAGGATCCAAACTGACCACACAGCTCACTGGGCATGGTGGGGGTAGACAGGGGAGGGGACTCCATAAGATGAATCAAGGCCTCAAACAGGGTAAAAGTCTGTATAGTGAAGGGCAAGATGCCCCAATCCACCCCAGCCCACTTCTCCCACCCAGTTTCTAGAATACTGATCCATAGCAGACCACCAGTGCCCTAACCAGGCAAAAGAACTGGGGCTCTGAGCGGCCTGATAGCAAAGGCATGCAGCCCGCCATTGGTGAGCCTCCTACCTGCTACCCCCAGACTCACAGCCCCTGCACGTCCTGGTCAGCTTTTCCTGACTGCTCCAATCTTAAGATAATGCAGTCAGGAGTCGGGAGATCTTGAGCCAGCCGGTAGCTGGTGATTAAGGCAGCTGGATTCCACATGGCTGACTACATGGTTCAGTTCAAGTCCCGGACCTGACAGCTTGAGAAACCCTCCAGACATGTGTGTGCATGTGCTTAAAATCTCTAAAGAAAGAGTGAAGCAGCATGACCATCCCACATTGTGTATGGGAAGATGCCTTCTCACTTTCCTCCTCTCTCTATCTCTCACTGTCTCTGTCTCTCTGGCAAGTGAACGCACCCTCTAGGAAAACTGAAAAAAAAAAAGAATCAGCAGATCTTTTCAAAACCACTAACAAAAGAGAGATAAGAAAATGAGAACTGAAGGCAGTGTGTCATTAGAGCAGGGAAGACCGGAAATACAGAAGGAAGGAAGGATGAGGTAGAGGAAGGGCTGTGAGTGAGGAAGGAAGAGACCCAGAGCCTGGAACGGAGACCCTGGGAGTGGAGGACGGGAGAGAGCAAGCAAAGATGTTGAGTAATGTAATGGCCAACGCCACCGTCTGCACAGTGGAGACGGGACAGCTGCCCAGAAAGGAGGGCAGACAACAGGGAAGGCTGAGGACAGCAGAAAGGGCAGTGTACTGTGGGCAGCACAGGGTCAGACCCTGAGGGCAAGAGAACTCCAAACAGCCCTGGGTGTGACATCCAGCAGGGTGGTCTCAGCTGTGAAGCCAGTCGGAGGATCTGATCCTGTATTATCATGTACACTGACTTGCCAGAAAGCACTTGAGAGGATTGAGTACCTGGAGGTTCCATTCAGGGGACAGATTATTTTAGGGGATGACAGAAAGAAGGAAAGAGGGAACCAGCAGTTAGCGTAATGGCTATGTTGCTGGACTCCCACATAGTCGACCGCGGTTCGCGTCCCGGACTCGGTGGCTTAAAACTCACATCGGGCACATGTGCGTGCGTGCCCCAAGATCCCGAGAGGAGAATGGAGGAGAAGGGATTGCAGTGTGACCATCTCCCCTGGGGGGTGATTTCTCGCTTTCTGTCTCTCTATCTCTCTCTGTCTGTCTGGTGAGCGCACGCGCCCTATAGTGAAATCTCTCCCAAAAAAAAGAAAAGAAAGAAGGAGAGAGAAATTGTAAGCAGATTGGAGTGACACACAGAGACGTTAAGCTCTCACAGACAAGGGCCAGATAGGGCCAGACAGTGGCACAGTGGTTAGGGCGGCTGGTTCCCACATGGCTAACTACGTGGCTCGAGTCACAGCTGGCAGCTTGAGGGACATGGCAGGTGTGGGTATGTGGGTGCCCAGCATCCCAAGAGGAAAATGGAGAAGAAAGGATTGTAGTATGGCCATTTGCCTTAGAAGGTGATTTCTTTCTCTTCTGTCTCTCTCCGATGAGCACACATGCCCCATAACAAATTTTTTTAAAAAGTGAGAAAGCTCGCACAGAGCAGTTCTGTGGTAATCCCAGCAGTACAAGAAGCTTGCATGTCGTCTTACTGGCAAGTGGGTGAAATGATGGGAAGGGACAGTGGCATGAGTCCTCTTACGAAACATCGGTGCCCTTTGAGTTCCTTGATGCCACTGTCAACAAGTGAATAGTCCTAATTTCTAACTATCATAATGGTAAACCGACACACATTGGTTAACAAACCAAAACATGTCTATTTTTCACAGAGATGAGGAAAAGTTAAAGTTTGGCTCCATGAAACCAGAGTCACTCAGCAGCAGCCATGAAATGGACTTAGACGCCCAAACTTGTGATCGAAAGCTCAGTTGGGCACGCTCGACAGAAATACAATACCAATGTTTGGGGTGGTCTCCCCAGAGCAGGAGACAGAATGTCAAAGAGACAGCTATTTTGTCACTATTTTTGGCTTTTTACTTTATTTTTAATAAAGCCATCTTCTCCCGGGTATTAAGAAACCAGGGCCAAAACAAAAGAAGCTGCTGTTCACCTGCGTTTGCAAGAAATATTTCAGAGGTCAAGAATCATCATTAGGAGCTGTAAAGAGCTCTCACATCATTTTTTTTAATTGCGGTAAGAACACATCATGAGGGGCCAGCAGGTGGCATGATGGATAAGGGCACTGGACTCCCACATGGCCAACCACAGTTCGAGTCTCGGACCTGGTGGCTAGCTTTCTCACTTTCCCTCTTTCATTTTCTCTCTCTCTGTGTCTTTCTAGTCAAATTAAACAATAAAATGAATGAATAAATAAAATTAAATAAATAATTCTTTAAAAAAAAAAGAACACATCATGAGATCTACCCTCATAACCTATGTTAAAAGGCACTGTGCTATATTATAAACTAGGCATGCTATCGTACAAAGGATCTCGGGCTGAATCACCTGCATAACTGGGATTATCTAACCCACTGAATAGCGCTCCTCATTCCCATCTCCCCAGTCACTGGCAACCACTGTTTTACTTTTTCTTCTATAGGTGACAATGTTAGGTAACCATGTAGGTGTAATCATGCGTATTTGCCCTTCTGTGACTAGATTAAATCTCTTAGCTTAATTGTCCTTCAGTCTCACCCACGGTATTGCATACTGCAAAACTCCCTTCTTTTTTTGCTTAGAGAGAGAGATTGTTTTTGCTATAGGATGCATGTGCTTGCCAGAGAGACAGAGAGACAGAAAGCAATAAGTCACCTCCCGGAGGGATGGCCACAGCGCAATCCCTTCTCTTCCATTCTCCTCTCAGGATCTTGGGCACACACACACACAGTACACACCTGGCAAGAGTTTTAAGCTTCTGGGTCTGGGACTCAAACTGAAGTTGACTATGAAGGAGTCCAGTGACATAACCATTACACCATCTGCTGGTCCCAACATGCCCTTATTTTTAAAAGTTAATAAATATTATGTCATATGTATATACAATGTATAATAGTTTCTTTTTTTTCTTTTCTTTAAGGTATTAGTTATGCATAAGGACACGTGAAAGTCATGTACATTCTCACAACCACACACACACTTTGGAAATACACAGTGAGCCCGACAGTTCTGGAACCTCCCCCAACCCCTGTATTTGGTTGACACCATCTGAGCTCCACTCTGGGGGAGACGGAGCCAGGCTCTGGGGCCTCAGGTATGGGGCTCTTGGTTCAAAAACAAATCTCTTGTGAAGGCAAAGGGCTGTGGGATACAGAGAGGAGGAATGCAGGCAGTAGGAGCCAGAAAGGGAAGCAAATGGTGGAAGGAAAAAGGGTTGGAAGGGGAGGAGAGGGGTATGGGGCTCATCACTCCAGGCTTCTGGGAGGTGGAGGGGATTTCTGTGAAATGAGCAGCTACACCACACACTTCCCTCCACTCATCCAAGAGTGTGTGCTTTTAAGGGACAGAAGGGAGGATAGAAAAGGAACATACGAGATGGGAAAAGGAAGAGCACATAACCTGAGAATAGAGAGGTGCTGAGAATAGCTTGGCTTTGCTAGAAGTTTGAACGTAATTGAAGGCCCGTGAGGAAAGAGCAGAAATAATTCTGTAGAATCCCTTCCTCTTCTTTGTTTCTCCCCATATATGTTAAAAGGGGTGGGTGGGGGATTAGCTGACCCCTAAGTTCCTTTCCTGCACAAAATCCATCACAGAGGTTAGCAAGGTAGACATCCGTGAACACAGGAAGGCAAAAATTGTATAACCATAACAAAAGGCCAAACTGTGGAAAGTTTAGAGTCATCTTTCAGACTATTATTGGAATCAATAAATGATCATGAGACCACAAAGCTTTCCAGTAAGGCAGAGAGGAGAGGACCGGAACATAAATGAGACCAGAGACTGAACAGAGGGAGAGCAATTTCCGAACATTTCTACATGCAAATGCAAGGATCTTGCCTGGCATTTTCCCTAAATACTGATCATCAGCCCCCCATACTGAGTTAGAATATCCCCTGCAGAACCAAATGAGTTTCATTACAGCTAGCAAATCAATGGGTAATTAACTTTGCCAACCACAGAGAGGAAAGGACCACAGGGTACATGTTCCAAGTAATCAGATTACAAGTGCCTGAGCTCCAAGAATGATACTGACCTGGGCAAACGTTAACTAGCAAGTTGTGCTACTCCTTTTTGATTTTATATCAATTGCATCATTAAGGCATGATCCCACAGGCTTAAGAAGCAATTACATCTTTATTATACAAAATTTAAGCAGGTAAATATTTAATCTATGCAATGCACCATACCAAAGAAAATTCTGCTATTGTTTCTGATCACCAACAGATTTTTTTAACTTATTTGATTAAACATTTCATAGTTCTATAAATATTAAGTATCAAGGTATATTTCTTAAGCTTGGCCCCCTTTACAATACACATTAAAGGTGCTTTTTCATTGAATGATTACCAATGTTCGAAAATTTGTTCAGGTAACATCTTAAAATTGCTTGCTGTATAGTGATGAACCAATTCTGAAGTACTTTAGAAGGAATGCTAGACCCCTATTCTAGAGCTACTCAAAGAGTTAGGTTCCCCACTCTGTTCTACTAATTAACAAAGTGACCTAAGACAACTTATATAATTTCTCTGTGACATAGTTCTTATGTAGATATTTTGTGTGGGCTCTTCCACGAGTCTTCAGAAGTAAAAGCAACCCAGAAAAGAAATAAAATTTTTGCAAATGATGTATCTGATAAGAGATTAATGTTTTTTATGTAGAGAGAGCCACTGAAACTCAACGACAGTTATAACAAACCAACCCAATTCCTAAAAGAGCAAAAGTCTTGAACGGACATGTCGCCAAAGACAGAGGAATGGCTAAGAAGCACGTGAAAACACACTTAACATCACTGATCATGCGAAAGTTGCAAATCAAATTCATTTTATCTCATACTCATTATACTGGCCATTATCAAAAAATTAGAATAGGGACTAATTTGGCTATTATCCAAAATTTAGGGTCTAGAATGGACAGTAGTATACAGGTAAAACTCAACTCTGCAAACCTGGCCCACCTGAAAGCATTCCAGGTTCTCACCTGGAGACCTTCCTGGGTATGCTGGGCATACACATGCCCAGGACTGAGGGTCGACAGAAGCTGGGGATGGATCACAGCCATCAAAATTCTGTTATGTTTGCTGTCTGTGTATATGTATATGTATGTATGTGTGTGTGTGTGTATATATATTTATGTGTATATATATATATACACACACACACACACACACATATATATATATATCCACCCCCAGGGAAAAAAAAAACTTAAATATATAAATGGAAGTTAACTGTTGATGAGAACATACGTGGTAATATCTGTTACATGACTTGAGTAATATACACTGAATTTACAATGGGGAAAACCATTTGGTATGCTGTAAAGATGTGCAAGCTAAATGGTGCATAGTGACTGAATGTTTAAAAATAATAATAATGAGAATAAACAATAATAATAATCATCTGAAAAATAAAATAAAAATTTATTTGATGATGATGTGGATAGTAATGTCTTTCTCTTGACTGATATGCATGGTAATCATGCTGGAAAAAGAAATGCTATATGCTGTAAAGATACATGTGATTAAATGTAATATAAAAAATAATAATGATGAAATTGTAAAAAAAAAAAAAAAGAGGACTGAGGCTAAAAACCCACAAGGCTAATGCAAGGATCCCTGTTGTATCCAAATCCTCTAGTTGGTCCTGAAATCCAAACCAAATTCTGGACCCCCAGGCAAAGAGCAACTGATTATTCCCAAGACAAAAAGTCCAAAGGGCTATTTGGTCTTAGAAACTAGGGAAATGCCATCACCCCACCCCCACCAACTAGTGAAGGGAAATTCAGCTTAAAAGCCAAGAAAACAAATAAGAGAATGATTCTGTGCTCCAGGAAATAGAAAGCTGCTATTTTGACAGCTCTCTACTTGTACTTTCCTCTGGAGGCCACACACAATCCCTTACTCAACTGGGTACTCTATCTGAGGCCCTTAGGAATACAGCAAGTGGCATGGTGGTTAAGGGCACTGGACTCCCACATGGCTGACTGTGGTTCGAGTCCCAGACCTGGCAGCTTTCTCTCTCTCTCCCTCTTTC